CGAAGAACAAATGTAGCTTTGTGGATTTATAAGCAAACAGCAAGGACTTGGAGGTTTGTTAATCTTAGATAAAGCTAATAAAGCTAATCTTAGATAAAGCTTGTAAAGTGCCATTAGTTACATCACTTCTAATAGTAATTCCTTAGTCAACGTTTTCATAAGTCATGCTCTGGGCATTTATTAGATCTTGCAGTTCCAAAAGACAAAATTACATTTTAAATGAAAACATAAATTAAATTGAACATTTGAATTGCACATAAAATCTCCAGATTAGTTCTTTATTCCATGAAAGAGAAAATAATTTGGAATTACTCAAAAGGTCGGTGTAATAGCAAAGCTGGGAGGGTTTTAGAGGTTACCTTGCTACAAACTTGGGCAAGTTGCTTATTTCTATGGACCTCAGTTTCCTCATATTAGAATATAGAACTCTAAGCCTAGGTCCTTTCCAGCTCTGAGATTCTTTGATGTGAGGAGGGTAAATTATCCTTTTCTATTTTTTAATTTTAGGTCTCTTCCTCCAAAGAAAATTGATGTCAGCTTTTCTTTATAAACTTGGGGTCTCAAGCACAGAAATTTAAAGCCCATTTGAAGATGAGTTTTTAACATTTTACGAAACCAACCCCAGCCAGCTCTAACAGAGAAGGCTAGTCACTAACAAAGATTCATGTTCTCCTTTCATAGTGAAGTTTTGCATAGAAGCAACTGCCCAGTTAAGACTCCATTTAACAGCCCTTCTTTGCATCTGGGTGAAATTACATGACTAGTCCTTGACAAAGGGCTATGAGCAAAAATGATGTATGAATTACTTCTAAATCAAGAGAGTGAAATATCAAGTGTGTGATCCTCCACTCTTTATCCTTCCCTTGTCCTCAGAGGGATAATACTTCTGCTACTTGGAGTCACAAGATGGCAGAGCCACATGTGAAAGGAACCTGGGTATCTGCATTATCTGTTGGAGACTACCTGCCCAGGACAGCCACCCAGTCAGAACACCTGCAATGGACTTTGTGTGAGCAAGAACTTTTACTGTGTTACGGAATTGAAAATTAGGGGTGGTTTGTTATAGCAGCAACCTTTAATTATGCTAACATACTAACTCCATAATGCAGGAATCCAATTTGAGGCATTGCGTAAGAGCAAACTGATCTCATTAAAGCAAATTCTCTTTCCCCATGCAGGGTGGGTGTGGGTGGGGGTAAGATTAGTCTACTCATTTTGTCTTATGATTAAGAAAATTCAAAAGAACCTATGCACCCCAATGTTCATAGCAGCACAATTCACAATAGCCAAGTGCTGGAAGCAACCTAAGTGCCTATCAGTAAATAAGTGGATCAAAAAACTATGGTACATTTACTCAATGGAATATGCGCAGCAGAAAGAAAGAGCTACTACCCTTTGCAAAGGCATGGATGGAACTGGAGAGTATTATCCTAAGTGAAATAAGCCAGGGGGTGAAAGACAAATACCATATGATTTCACCTATATGTGGAACCTAATCAACGAACAAGCAAGGAAAATATAACCAGCAACAGTGAAAGAAAAAAGAAACCAACAGTAATAAGAAGGAAGGGAGAAGGGGAGTAACCAGGAAAAGAAGGGGAAGGGTCAGATCAAGGAACACGTATGAAGGACCCATGGACAAAGCCAAGGTGGGGAAGGATTGAGGGAGGAGGTGGGGGTGGATGGGGCAGGGAAAAGAGGTGGCGGGAAAATGGAGACAAATGTATTTGAACAATAAAAAAAATTTTTTTTAATAAAATAAAAAAAAGAAAATAGTTGTTCTGGAAAAGGTCTTACCAAAATCTCCTTTAAATTACTAAATTCTGTTACACAAATGCAATCTAATGTAGACAACCTTCTGGTTATTGATGGGTATAAATGCCACAATTATTTCTGAGCCATGTGTATCAGGTATTTTGGAACAATAGAAAGCTCAGTAATCACTGGTAGAGATAGATAAACTAAGCAGTTAACTTGCTTTCTGAAACTCTATTTTTTTTTTTACATTTTGAGATGACCTTGTTAATGGGGCGAAGAAGGAGAGGAGTTATTGATTATATCCATCGTCAGGTATTTGCTATTTTTGAGCCCTGGCTGGGTGGCTCAATTGGCGCATTGTCCCATGCACCAAAAGACTGCAGGTTTGATTCCCAGTCTGGGCACACACCTAGATTGCGGGTTTGATGCCCGGTCAGGGCGTGTCCAGGAGGCAACCAATCAGTGTTTCTCTCTCACATTCATATTTCTCTCTCTCTGTAATCAATAAACATTCTCAGTAAGAATTTTTTTAAAAATTTTAAAATTGATTTTGATTGCAGGAAAAATATGAAAGATAAAAAAAGTTTCTTTCTTTGGCTCTATCTTTGCAAATACTGACAGTATTTTCAGCTAGTATTTTATGGGAGGATAATTGAGAAACTATGATGTAGAAGCACTTCAGCAACACTAAGAAAAATCATTACAGTAAAAATGGGATTGTGAGACAATGCTGGTCTGGAGCTGTGGGCGGAGTATGATGCTGGCTACAATCAGAAAACTAGCAAATGCTTAATTAGCAAGAACCCATAACAGCTATACAGAGAAATGAACTTCCAACGAAATAAATGCCTTGTGGAATTAAAATTATTCGGGTTTTATTGTACTTTGCCACCTAAATTGTTGTCATTTAGGAGCTTGAGTTCAAATGGATTCTGTAAACAAGATGTACACAGCTGTATGGCTATGAGGAAAATTAACTTATACTGAAAAATGTTCTGCAGATATTAACAAAATTAAAAGGGTGCATAGATTCTAATCTAGCAACTAAGCTTCTAGTAATTTATTCAGAGAAATATCAGTAGTGTGCAAAAAAAAGGTTGATTTTGCATAGAAAAATGAGAACCTAAAGGTCATCAATTAAAAACTGATCAATCATGCAAATCTGTACTACAGAATGTGCTGGGTACCTCTTGCAAAGAATAGATGTTTATATACTGCTATGGAGGGAAGTCCTCAATAAAAGGGTAGAAATTAAAGATATACACATACATACATATATACATACACTCACATATATATGTATACACACACACACACACACACACACACAGAGGGGGGTGAAGAGAGAGTGTATCTGTCTGGAAAAAGTCCAACATTGTTAACATAGTAAGAACAGTTTGCATGACATCAATATAACCTGGCAGCCAAGGAGAGTGGACTGGAATGCACATACATGAACAATGATGACTTCACTGTACTAGTCAGTGGGGGTGGTAGACACTGTTGAGTGAACATGTGTACTGTGTGGCCATTGCATTCAAAATAACTGAGCAAGTACAGTAGCAAATCTATCAAATTTTGCATTTTGACCATTTCTGCATGGAAGCTATTCAATGATTCAGAAGGCTGCAGCTATTGGCAACGGGCTATTGGCAGCTTCACCACCACAATGTTCATGCATCGTGTCTCATGTGTTTTTTAGGCAAAACATCAAATCACCCAGGTGACTCAGCCCCCCTATAGCCCATATTTGGCACCCTACAATTTCTGGCTCTTCCCAAAACTAAAATAACCTTCGAAAGCGAAGACTTCAGAACTTCGATGAGATTCCGAAAAAATGAGGCAGCTGATGGCGATTGGAACTGTGAGGCCCCAAGGTGTGTACTTTGAAAGGGACTCAGGCATCATTGTCCTATATACAATGTTTGTTGTATCTTGTATAGTCTTCAATGTTTCTATTTTACATAGTACATGGCTGGATACTTTCTGGACAGAATTTATGTTTGCGTGCACATGTGTTATGACCCTTTATTTAAAGACTAATGAGTCAATTCTGATTTTAAGGTGAGATTTTTCTCTTACTTTGTACCTTCTGTATTTTCAGTTGAGTGAATGTGAATTATCTTCATAATTAGCATCTTCACATACACTACCCTCTAGCCCAAACCTCTATAAATATTTCTCATTCCTCACCTCCACGGCCCCACTGCGAGGTCACTTCTTCCTGGCATACCTTCCCCCAAATGTCATCCACCCAAACCCTGCCGGACTATTTAAAGGTGATCTCTTCTAAGAAATTAGTATCAATGCTCACATTTTAGAGAATCATTTCTCATTTGTCTAAACACCTATTATCCTTGAAGGATTCTTTTTTTTTTTTTTAATTTAAAGATCTTATTTATTTTTAGAGAGGGGAAGGGAGGGAGAAAGAGAGGGAGAGAACCATCAATGTGTGGTTGCCTCTCATGCACCCATTACTGGGGACCTGGCCTGCAACGCAGGCATGTGCCCTAGACTGGGAATCTAACCCGCGGCCCTTTGTTTCACAGGCTGGCACTCAATTCATTGAGCCACACCAGCCAGGGCTATTCCTTTGTCTTTTATAGACACTTATAATCAGTTCCAGTTTGTGTCTTAAGAATCTTAGCTATCCATGTCAAATTTTAAGTGTTTCCCACTTATTTGGTAACAAGCTTCTCATGAGAAGAAACCAAGATTTATTCATCACTGTGTCCCCTGAAATGCTCAACATAATAGATGCTCAAAGCAAGATATGCTGAATTAATGGGACATTTTTGCCATTCCATGCATATGCTGCTAATAATTTAGAAAGAGACAAAATTATTCACCAGTTTATTTTCAAAACTTTACATAGAATCTTCAGAATGTTTCCCTTTAATTTTTATGAGATAATTCCCAAAGTTTAAAATCAGGTATTTTATAATACATCATAGTTAAGTATAGGGAGAGATCAATCATTTTGAGAAAAAGCTTTCATAATTGTATGAACATTAATATTCACAATATTCCTTAATACAGATATAGACAACATGGCATCATATTTAAATGTACAAAATAGCTTAAATCACATTTCGTTACAGAACACTGAAAAATTCAAACTAATAAAAGAAATCCATAAACATTGGTAACATTTGGGAAAACCAGCAACTGGCTTATCAATAATTGCAGTAAACTTTTATAAAATATACAATTTACATGTCAAATCCACAAATTTAAAGATATATGTAAGTAATCTACTTAAATCATGCTGGGATCTAAATATTATTTTACAATTAATAGGTTGAAACAAATATTCTTTTGTATCTCATGAAACAGAAATACAAACTATGAAATCATACTTAACATCCTTCTTAATTCCTAAGAGGCTACTTTAGGAAACCTCAAAGATAGCAAATCAGGCATTTTCCCCTGAAATTACAGTCCTTATGAATATATTCATAAATATATCCAAAGGAAGAAAATAAAAACAAGAAGACATCATGAGTTAATTAATTGGGACTAAGGGGAACCATACTTCTATCTTGTTCCAGAAAAGATTTAAGGTGACTTAAAAGGTTAGAAAAATACCAGAAAGCACAATTTACCGTTTAAATGGGGGGTGGAGGGAAGACAGAGAGAGAGCAAGAGAGAGAGAGAGAGAGAGAGAGAGAGAGAGAGAATGGTGTGGGGAAACAGCATACCTAAAAACATTTAAGAAAAGGTCAGGAATTAAGTATGTAACATTATTTTTCACAGTGACCTTCTGGAAATATTGCAAAATCTGGAATTAGTAAGGAAATTACTGAACTACTGGTAAATTGGAAATGCAGATCAAATTTGTTCAATTTGTACAGTATTAAATCCTTGATGGAAGAAAAGATAAAATGTGCTTTTTTCTTTGTGCTTAAGTAAATTTTCCTAACTGCCATAATGTGACTCTAGTCTCCAGTTACTGCTAGAAGGTGTAAATTTAAAAAAATAAAAATAAAAATAAAAATCAGGTATCCTGACTTAGTTCCTACTGAGAAATCCATCAACTGGTTATCTGCTGATGACTTGAGGACAGAGAGCTACATTTCAGGTGTTCAGGTGTCATATGGCTCTTCTGCAGGTACAGGACATAGGACCAATCCTAGGGCATCCCGACTCTCAGTTCCTTCAGGTCCTACAGCTCACCTTGTTAGGACCCAGCAAGATACACAGGAAGGAGATACACTGAAGAGCAGGAAGCTGCTCAAGCTGGCACTTTGAGGGCAGTCTCTTCTGCTGCCCAGAGAGCTATAGAGGTTCTGAACCTGCTTACAGTCTGCACATCATAGACCTCACCCCACTCCTGCGGGGGAGGAAAATTAGAGAAAGAAGGCTGGGGCAGCATGCTTCTGGGGGTCTGTTCATTTCTAGTCTTCAGGTTCTACTTTCAACAAATGAGAGAATGAATGACCTCATACTTACATGTCGACAGGCAAGAAGTAGAGCGAGTGGAGATGAAGAAAGGGCTTGAGGGAAATGAAGGGAGAAAAAAATGGTAGACTAGGTGGATGAGTTTTGCAACTATAGACTAAGGATCAGAACAAAAATGTCCACCTGAAAATTAAAACTAACTACTGCTGCCTATCTTTTTTTTTTTTTTTTTAGGATGAATGGTCCCAGCAATACTCCCGAGTTTTAAGAACTATGTTCATCTATAGATCTAAAGCCGCGGGAACTCTAATGCTCTTGGCTGGGAGGCAAAGCTACACTACAGTTTATGAGATGGGTTTTACATAAACAGGGGTTAGGGACACTGACTGCCACTTCTCTAAGGACAGCCTTCAGGGTCAACTTATCTAATTAGGCACCATGCCTCAGGCCCATGAAAATGCTTTAAATTCTTTGAAATTCAAAGGAAAAAAAACCTTTTAGATTGATGATATATATATACGTGTGTGTGTGTGTGTGTGTATAAAAATACTCATTTTATACAAATGCAGTTATATTAATTTTTAATGGAAGAAGAGGCCCAAGAAGGCAAAAGTATCTAATGCCCATGAATGTTATAATGCAGCTGTGAACACTGGGCCAACAGGCCAACGCTAGAAGAACAGAGAGGGAAGGAGAGTCTGATTTTGCTGATCCTATTCCACTGATTTTTCCTGTTTTGAATGTTATTTTAGGATTAGATTTTCCTATCTCCAATACTGTAAGCATTACTAGAGGGAGGTTTCCCTGTGAGACCTTGCCTCCTGAACTTCCTGTACCACACTGCCATGCAGTTTCAGACTTCCTGTGTGTTCTCCCTAGGACCTACCTTTTCAACTACCCTCAACAGCTCAAGGTTGGCAGTGACAGGAATGTGGGCACCTGAAGTTGCAAAGATGTTTTAATATGCTAAGAGAAAAAAAGGAAGCAGAGAGAATGAATGGGGAGCAGGGATATCACAGCTTTTAATGTCCTAAAATTACAGGGGGGAAAGATTTATACTAAAACATTAACCATGGTTTTCTAGATAGTAGGACTGAGATATTTTTATGCTTCTGTTTTTAAAAAACATTTTATTTTGAAAATTGTGCTCTTAAAGCTTTAAACTGAGGGTTATCACCTTTGAGCTGCTCAGAGTATGGCTTAGTAAATATAGTTAACCACTGGCATGCGGAGGACCCAGATTTAAGAACAGAACTCCTAACAATGTCCACTATTTTCCATTATTCAAATTTATCAATATTATAGGGCAATTTCCATCACAAAAGCTAGTTAATGACATTTTCTAGGCTCTGTTCCCAATGAATAATGAGGAAAATATGTCAAAAGGATGAGTACAAGGAAATGAATTACAAAATCTTTTACAGAATCAAAGATTTTCTGTACTTGGAAAGAAACACTAAATCAAAATTTAGACCATCGAATTACAGATGAAGAGTCTGAGGTCTAGATCCAGGTTATGTGATTTTTATCACTGTCACACAGCAAAGCTGCTAACAGAATTAGGGTAAGAACTCTCAGGTTTCCTGATTTTTGATCTAGATCTCTCACAGCCCTGGTCCCAAAAGTAATTGCTTTCTAAGTTATGTTTCATTGTTTATCCTAAACGTATACAAAGAAATGGAAAATACTACCAGTTTTCTTTAAAAACATTTGCTAATTTGGGAACTGTACCATCTCAAAATATAAAGTTCCAGGTGAGTGGTCCAACAATTAGAATGAAATGTAAGACTTCAGACCTAGAAGGATGCTAGAAAGATAACTGAGACACCAGAGACACAAGATTTAGGTCCAAAGAAGGTAGCTTATCCCCCAAAGTCACAAGGTTGAGTCCAAGACCCAGGTCATTTAAAAGTGGCGCACTAAGCCTTCCAATACTGCCATGTTCTTACTTGGCTACTGATTCACACCAAAAAAGGTAAAAATACAGAATCATACCCAAATTAGATGTAATAAACCTGTTACTAGTAAGAATGCCTGGAGAATGGGTATAAATTAATTCAGTGGTTAACAGAAATAAACTACAATCTATTAGGATAAATCAGGCAGCATAATTAAGTTTTATTTGACAATGTACCTAAATGTAATAAAGCACAAATTTTAGTTTTGTTGTTTGAAAATGATGAAATATCTTTCAGTATCTCAGGCTCATGCATCTGAAGAGAAATTCTAATTATTTGCAAATCTCTAGAGTAGGGGTTGGAAGATAGCGGCCAGCAATGTTTTTTGTGAAGCTTATGAGTTAAGAATGATTTTACATTGTTAAAGGATTGTAAAAGAAATATAAAAAGTGTCTGATAGAGTATATGTCCTGCAAAGCCTATGTAACTGATTAATAGCCCCTTTACACAAAGTTTGCTGACCTCTGTTCTAGATTTAGAAAGTATATGAAACTGGGCTGCATAAGTAATATATTGTGGAAGGCTTTTTTCTTTTTAAAATTAAATCTCTTCTTTAAGCTTTATTGCAATTTGCGCCTCTTTCTACTGATAGCAGGTAGTAGAAAGAAATCTAGTTTGAGGGTGCTGATTATCTGTGTTGCAGTTAAATGAGATTTTATCATATACACACTAATGTAAATGGGCATACAGTTGAAGCTAATTATTTTATGTATCTGAAATCCATACAAAATGCTTCAGATAGATGAGAAAATGGCATATCCTATAGTACTGATATAAAATAAAATGGAAGCAAATATCTATGATTTAAAAAACGGCAATTTGATTCTCTCATTTGGGTCTCCTCTCTGTTTTTAAGATTTTCTCCTTATGCCTCCCCACTGACCTCACACAGCATGTTGTTAGATTTATTAAGTCAGTAGTGTTCAGCCATGTTAATTACCTTAGTGACCACCCATCCGTATCTCATTTGCAACAATAAACACATCTCACCAAAACACAAGAAAAGGATGGAGTGCTCCTAATAAGACATGAGATAGAAAAAATGGAATGACTAGTTGGGAGAGAAATAAAAATTAGAGACAGATTTCACTTATCAACCTGAATACAACAGCAAAGCGGGCAGTCCTTCAGGCTCTGCTGCGCTGCTTCCTGGCCACTGCGCGCAGGACTGGAGTGCTCTGGCAGACCCCAGTTTACATGACACTCTGATAATCACTATATGGAAACACATCCCTATCTCTTTTTTGTCACATGATTTATGTGGCAAAGTGCAGATTTTGTGAACTAGAGAAAAATTATCAAAGCTGTGCTACTACTAAATTACAATAATTTCAAGGCTATTAGTGACAGCAGGATCTACTGTTATCAAGATTAAAATGTCTTTAAATTATTACAGTAACAATTCCTTTGAACCCACAGTACAGTTCTCTTCCGCTACTCCATTCCCCTGCTTGCTTTTATAATTGGAAAGAAATAAATTTTCTATTTGAGTCAAGAATTCTTCAGCAGTGAAGCGGTTTGTCACTTTGCTTAAAGTTTTCCTCAGACACTCCAAAAGCTAGAAGAAAAGAAAAGTTTTATATTTAAACACAAAAAGTACAAGAAGGCTTATATTACTATCCTTACTCAATGATAAATCTCACATTTTCTACTGCTCAAATGAGAAACATTTCTTCATAAATATAGTTGAAGATAAACTTATGTGCAATAATGGTATAGCTGGATGCTTAGGTTAGTTTCTTTATGATTTATATAAGGAAACAAACCTGAGATTGTAAAAGCATGTGATGCCTTTTTCTACTTTGGACAAATCTGTGACTGTGCTCTTTTTTTGAGTAGTTACATTCAAAGCAAAAAATTTTGTAGGATAAAAAAAGAATCTATGTACATGTAAAAACAGGACTCTATCCTTTCAAAATTAGGATGCTAGAGTCAATTTATTTCCTGGGAAATATACATAGTAATCTTCCAACAAAACAAAGATAAATAGAAGGGGGTAAAAATATAAAAAGAAAGTATGTTTACATTTTCTATTTCCAAACTGCTAGAGAGAGAGAAAGAGAGAGAGAGAGAGAGAGGGAGAGAGAGAGAGATTGAGATTGCCAGTCTAGTGGTCTTAACTTGTTACACTTATAAACAAAACTAGAAGTGAAATTAAAAAATTTAGGAGTCTTATTTCCTACCAGAAAGTAAGATGATCATTTAAATTTAATTGTTAGATTTATAATGCCATTCTTAAAAATGATCAATTGTTAAAGCTAAATGGAAACATGGCGCTTTTGAGTTTAATAAAATGAGAAAAATGTTCTCCATTGTGTACAATAATGTGCTAAGAAATTTATCAGCCAATACTGACATATTTATTCTAAAATAGTATTATTTCTATATGCAAGTGCAAGCAACAAAACATATTACTAATTATCTCCTAGAAATTAACTTTAAGAAGAAAAAAAGCAATAAAGGAAATAAATAGAAAATGTATCCACAAAGCATTACTCATCATGGGAAAACACATCAAGATGAATAGCTTTAGAATCTGTGAACAAAGGAACCAATTAAAATGAAGGCAGCTTACTTTCTGCAAACAAGTCAGGTCAGAATCCCGGCGAAAGATTTTATCCATAGGGACACTGCTGTTGGAAGAAAAAGGAAAACAAACTGATGAAACAAATACTATAAACTAATCAGTTCTGCAATAAACTATCCCTGATGCCATACATTACAATTTTATATTTAACTTGGGTTTTCTCTAAAACATAACTTAATGAGAAATGCTGCAGATGTGCAACCATCTCAAACCACAGCACATACCTATGGGAGAGTCTGTATTTTTCTATTATCCATCTTGTCTTTTCAAACACTAATCCCCACTCAGGTTCTTCTAACATCTGTTGTACTTCAAATTTGTAAGGTAAACCTAGAAAAACATAAAGAAGCACATTTTCATCAACTAATTCTTGTATCTCCAATCTCCTTTTAATTACTTAAAATTCCCTTCACTCTTTTCACAACCACAGCTTGGCAGATCAGCTCAACAGCACTTAAAAACATAGTGGCCATTCATTAAATATTTATTGTCTGACTCAACATGGTCCATCAAACATATTAATGACAAAAAATTAATAATTATAATAATAAAGAAAAGTGTCATTTGTATGACAATTCTATGCAAGGAGCTGTGAGAGGTAAAATGATTACATCATTTACATTCCAAATCAATAGACTTTTTGAGTAAAAGGGGGCACTATTAATAATCGAGCCAGAACAACAGGCTTAAACTGAGACTGATCTAAGCAAACAAATATATAGTCCATTCTAGAGATTTTTTAAAACATGGGGAGTTGAGGTTTACAACACTGTTATAAGGTAGGTAGCATTATTCCTATTTAACAGATAAGAAAACTGAGGCTGAGACAGGTTAAACAGTCATATGTGGCAGTCGCTGCTGAACTGAACAGCATCAGAGTAGAGGTTCACTCCCCAAATTTAGCAGATTGTGAGATTAAGAAATTATATTTAACTTGAGAACCAGTAAATCGTGATTCCTTCTTTTATAATTTTTTTGTAAAATTATACTGGCTAAAGAATGATGTATATATGTGGTATGGGCATTTTGAACTAAAGTTCATGTCAATACTATTCATTCGACAAAAAAAAACACAGAGTGCAGATCATTTCCTAGGTGGAAGGCAATTGATTAAGTGCTTCTAGAGATACACAAAGAAGATAGTTCCTGCTCTTTGGGGCACAGAGTTTAGTGAGACATGCCAAACAGATAAATTACCATTTACCAAGACAAATTACCAGGACAAACTGGCCATGAAGACAGGAAATAAGTGCAGCAGATGCACAAAACAGAGCAACTAACAGTAAATGACACAGAGGTAGTGCTGGGAAGTCTTTATCAAAGAGAGGGCTCTGAGTGACATCATTAAGAATAAAGAGAAATTAATTTAATAAACATTCACTTGGCACCTACTTTATGCCAGGCTTGTGCTACAAACTGAGGCTAGAAAAATGAGTATAATATAATACCTATCTTCAAGGAGCTCATGATCTAGTGGGGAAGAGTACAATGTGCAGTGAGTAACAGTGTCTAGAGAGGACAATAAACTAGAGCAGTGGTGGTAAGACTAAAGAAGGGGGAACAAATATCCTAGAGATGACAACTGTTTCTTCTAATGACTTCCCTTCTATCCACCCTTCTGTTCCCCCGGCCGCTACACTAATTCCCAGCCAGAGTTGACTGGACCACAACTAAACATAAATCCCAAAGGAGCCAAATCATATGATAGGCTAAACCAACAAAATTCTTCATTGAATAGAATGGATGCTAAGAGATAAAAGCAGGCATTGTTAAGCCTAAACTAAGAGGTCATGGAGAGCTGGTAGTGGGGTGGTCACTTCTATTTTTTCATTCGTATACCACCTCAGAGAAAGCCAGCATGCATTTATGCTGCTTACTGCAGTCTCTTTAGTACTTAACACACACACTGCTTGGCCATAACTATTCTCCATTCGCTAGCCATTTTGTCCAGCAGCCACGGTAACACAGCACAGGCTTGAATCCTGAAGGACACCGTAAGAGGGGAGAGGGTGACTGCACTACGTGGTATGCAAACAGTGATTCCCCAGTTGAGGCACAAACTCTTCCATTAAATAGTTTTTGTACAAAATGGGGTGAAGTTGTTTTTGTTGAAAACTTACGGTAAGAGCCATCTGGGCTAATTTCATCACTTATGACCAGGCAGGTAATCTGGGAATAAGGTAAAGGATTGTTTCGATTATAGGGACTAACAATCATTCCAATAAACTTTGCACCACCTCTGGAGAAGTAACTCTACAATGAAAAGTAAAGTATAATTAGTTTCAAATACATAAATTTAAAAGTCAGTATTTATCCATACCAACATTTTAAACATCTAATGGAGAAAATGGGAACACAAAAGTGTGTTAAAACTTCACATCCAAATAGGAACTAAATGAAATGTCTTATATATTCATTCCACGCTCTAAATTTTTCAGGCCAAAATGTGTGCAACCCAACCGTAAAAAAAAAAAATCTATATTTGCCATGACTATATTTACTAATTCTATTTACAACCCATCACCTATAATCTTCCTCAATATGTTAATAATTTACAAACAGCTGCCTACAGCAAAAACATTCACATATCAAACATAAAATTGCAGAATAAAACAAAACTATTTCTCACAGATGCAAAATATATCTTGTATTTCTGATTACTTCAATTATTCCCAGTCCTTGCCCTAATTGTTCCCATCAATTTTTAAAGGCTCTGGGAACAATTATCACTGTTACTTTGATGGTTTGTCTATATTAAATAGGAAGCTGATTTCCAAATTTTTAAATAAACATGTATTACTTTTGTAATCAGAAAAAAATGCAAGTTATTTCAAAACTCCAGATGTAAAGATTATCAGAAATACGACACACTGATAGAAATGTTAAAAGTACTTTTATGTAACAGAAAGCAATAAGGGGGAGAGAATGTGCAATCACTTATAGGGTACATACACGTAAGACCTATAAACACACCTGGTATTTGGCTTGAGTATCAATATCCCGTAGGGAAGGATTAGGATCAAAGGCCGGATGAGAATGATACCATCCGATAACACTATAGCCTCTCACAGCCAAGGTTTCCGAGGCCTGTGTCTGTGAGACTGGGTCCATCTCACACTGCAGCCCTGTACTCAGGCTGTTACATGGTTCTGCTGCACAGACCTGTAAAGGGTTAATCCTTGTACGATTACACTGAAATTCTGTTAATTCTATTACTTTAATGTTTTCATTCTTTCATATATAGATACAGAAACTTTTTAAAGCCAAGCCTTTTATTTGATTTTATCACAGGGAGCTTGTAACTTGCAAATGATTTATACTCCAAAAGTGTGTGGATCCACTTTCTACTTAAACAAGGTCATAATAATTGTTAATTTTCCATGTCAGCCCATGTAATACTTGCACAAACACACTCTTTCAATGGCCTCTATTATTTATGATAATAATTTCAACAGAATGATGCAAACCAAGTTTCAGCTACAAGGTTAGCATATGCTTCCTGGCCTCTAGGAACTGTAGCTTTTTACTGGTGAAGGCAACAAGGAACCAAGGCCTGGCAGTGTCCCCCCTTTCTCTGTGGTAAAAGGAAACAGGTGCTCAATATATGGAATTTTAAGTCATTTTGGGGAATATATAACTTTACATTTGCATGTTCTCATTCACATCATAGGTGAATTGTAGGTGTATTTTAATTATACCTACTGAAATCTATAAAAACATTTGGTATGGAAGCAGGACAAAATATATTTAAAATCTTTAAAATTGAGAACTTACTTCAACTATCTTATCAACTTCTGAGTATCTTCCTCCTAACAGACCAATCACTTCTGCCATAGATACATGGGCATGCTGAAAGAAATACAAGGTAGACTTAGCCTAAACAAACCACCTAGCAAAAAGATAAGAATAAAACTCACTTATCAAGTATGGTAATTATGCTTTTCTACTATAAAGTAGCATACTACAGGAACTGGATGCTAGGCTCAGAGCAGAGTCTTTAAGATTTCAGACCTATATTCACTGCTGGCTGAGCAGCTTTGAACCCAACATTCAAACAATGACATCACTTTTTCACTTACAAAATAAAAGTACTTTGCTCTCCCTACTCAGGAAAGATATAAAGATACAAAGTAAAAAAAAAAAAATCACTGTAGAACCTCCTATAGGAAAAGACCATGAACACACACAACTATGGAAGTCTCAGTAGTTTAGTGCAAACCAGGAAACTCCAAATTATGAGTTGTGTTTTGTTATCTAGAAGGCAGCAGACAAAGGATACTAGGAAATAAAAGTAGGGTTAATGATGATAAACAGTCTGCAAAAACTCACATTAATTTATTTGCTCTAAAATATGGAAACATGCAATTGTTTGGCTTTTCTCCAAAAGAAAAGACTTATTTTTAGATTCCTTGTAAAAGAGGATAGTTAAGATCCAAAATACAGGTCTTCCATACTCTCTCTTATGCCTGCAATAAAAATACACAAGAATACAAATCAGAATAACTAAGTAAACACAATAGATTATCCTTACCAAATCCATTATTAAAAGTGCTTCTGAAGCCACTTTCACCTGAAATGGCTCCTGAAATATAAAAAAACAAAAAAACAAAAAAAAAATGGGGGAGTATAAAAATAGAGATTTTATTCTTCCTAACTGGAATGCCCACCCCCCTTCTCCTTTACCTAACATACTAAGGTCTCACCACCAACCAAAGCTGAGGGTATCAAACTTCAAAAAAATACCACTTAAAACCCTAACCTAGGGTAATAATTCCATCTCATTTTCCACCTGTACCACTCATGTGACCCTAATACACCCTGCCTTGCCCACTACTTCACATGTAAATGCCCTGCACATATTGAAAGAGAAGAAGTATTTCATGTCTGACAGCAGGGCATTATTTGTGGTCAGTCAGTGATGCATAAGTAGTACCTGCTTTTCTTCACTGAAAAAATTACAAGGTATCAGTTGGAAGGGATCAAATGAGCTGAAAAAGAAGAAAAATATTTATTTCTAATATAATCTCAACAAGATTAGGAAAATAACATTTATTTACAAATCCGAAATTGTGTATCAAAAATCTAAACCTACTAACTGAGAGAGAAAAATATTAAACAAGGAAGATTTCTTAAAACGTTCAATACAACCCTTTGGAAAGCAGCACTGCTCTTTTGGACTATATTTTTAAAAAATGCGGGAGGGATAGAGTGACAAGACCTTTGGGAGAAAGTAATTCTACTGTCTCAATTTCTTTTAATATTCAAACAGGAAAACATTAAAAATGGTCAGATATGTGTCCTACACTGAAAGCACATTTCAAAAAGTTCAATGAAGATAGAACCAATTCCCTGACATAAGGCCTAAAATGTCAAGAAAGATGGAAGTTTTTCGAAAACATTTGTCAGTACAATATGGTCAGCATAGAGTAGGGAATCAATAAATATTTGTTGAAGGAATAAATAACAAACAGTTCTGCTAAAGGAATTAATGTATACAGAAAGTTCTATAATAAACTCATATTTTAAAATTAAAAAGTAAAAATAAAAGATGAGAATAGGACCACCTAGGCAAGTCTAGATTCAAAAGCATGCATAAATAAATCTAAGAGAAATGTTAGAAAGGTTTTGACCCGTAAAGAATTGAGGTTTGAGAGATATATTAAGAATAAAAAGGATTTTTAAGCTATGTTCAGAGGAAAAAAACCCAAACAAACAAACAAACAAGGAATATATCCATGTTAACACAACTAAAAAAGAGCAGAGCTATTTGGTTTCTATTCTCCCTGAGACTGTCAGCTCCAGGAGAACATACACCTTGTTTGCTGAATATTGTATTCCAGAGGCCTAGAACAGTGCCTGACACATTGTAGACATTCAAAAAACATTTGTTAAATAAAGAAGAAAGATTTTCAAATTAGAAAGTGCTTTAGCATCATGGATGGAAAGAAACTAAAGGCCAAGATAGATGAGAAAACAGCAAGAGAGCACATGCATCCCAGAGCTCTGAAGAACCAGACATGAAACCACTGTCAAGTTTTCTGAGGAGCTGCAGAGAATGGGAAAGTTACTGGAGGCCTTGGCACTAAGGCAATTTATTGGGCTTGCTTCAAAACACAATATAAGCAGATTTTAGAAACAGAAGAATCAGGTGTTGAATATTAGAAAAATTCTAGATAAGATTTTAAAATAGCTGATTAGTGAGCCTTGAGCAAGTGAAGAGGTGACTATTAAGAATAATGGGTTCATATAAGTATATTAAAATGAAAATATAAGACATGATAAGTAGACCTAAATTTCATGTATGATAGGAATGACCTACTAATAAACTAGTAGACTCATAAAGACTCAAATATATTTTATCTAAATGTAAGCAAGACATCTGCTTACATTGTGGTAGAACATAGCTGACTGAAGAATAATGTCTGAGGTTTACATTTATCCCAGCGGAACATTTAAATTAGTGATCAATGGTGGAAAAGCAAACTTACTGACATGTTGATGATTCAATGCTACGGAGGATATTATATAAGACAAGCTGATCTGGATTCAAAAAGATTCTGACAAACTGAAACAATGACTTGAAAAACCACAATAAACATAAGACTCACATATATTTTGAGAAAATCAAACGTCTGGATACTAGATGAGGAGTCCTAGCTTATGGATGAGTATATTTTTTACATAATTTATCTCATTTATTACCAAATTATAATTTTTAATTTTTATTTTAAGGAGGTGTAGTATTATACTGTAGTGTTATGGTTAGGAGTGTGGATGCTTAAGGCTTAATGCCTGGGTTTAAATCACAGCCCCACCACTAACAAGTATGAACAAGTCACTCAAATTCTCTGTGCCTCTGTTTCCTTAGCTATACAATGGGTACGGTAATAATAACTGCTGCAGAGAGTTGGTGTAAGGATTAAATGAGTTAATGAAAAGTGCTTAAAGCATAGCTAACAGTGTTAGTTATCAAAGTTATTTTATAAATGAAGACCTAAGGCTTATAAGGGCTTTAAGTGACTTACCCAGGGTCCTAACAACTGCCAATTATCAGGGCTCTTTCCTTTGAAGATGACCTAAGTGGCCTTCTTGGATGTCTTGTTATAGGACAATGACAAAACTATAGTTCATTTAAGGGGGCATCTGTACAAAGTGAGGGGGTCTAGAAAATCAAGGCATGTAACTTACTTGGTGTCCCTTAATGTTACAAATTACAAATTTTAGATTATAAAAGAATAAAAAATACTTTGTTAACAATTACTATCACGTAAGAACACATCAGTCATTTCATGCGCTTACCTATGCCTGAGTTATATTAAATGATCATCTGTCATAAACAAGGCCCCCTTGCAACACAGGTTAGAGCCTACATTCACTGAACCTGAACAAATTTAAAACTTGTGCTCAAGGTATTCCAAATTCATCATCAGTGAAATAAAATTTCAAAAAATTTACCTGGATTTTTAAACTTAATGTAAACATTAAAAAGCAAGTTACTGCAAATATTTTTCCATACATTTTCTAATCATTGTGATAATAAAGAATCATATTTACATAATGTTAATTATACCTTTTTGTTGGTCTTTGCACTTTTGAAGATTTAATGGGTTTGCATTTTTCCTCTTCTCTTCTTCTTGCCAACTCCTCGGCAGAGAGATGCTAAAATATAAAACACCAGTTGATCACAGTCCACCAACCACTAGTAAGTAGAATTAATAAAAATACTCCTTTAAAACCACATTTAAGGGCACGAGAGAACAAGACAAAGTTGACAGGTATGTCTCCACCTACGGACGCCGCCAGAGACTAGTACTGTGTGATAAGCACTCACTCTACTCAATTGTATGTGTATAACACCTCTCTTTGTATTACTTGCGTATGACTCTATTGGCTTATTGGGGAGGTCTCCCCTAATAAACCTGGCATTGTGTAAAGACAGAAATATGTACGAGTGGCTCCTTTTGGGGATGCTCCCTTGCTCATTACACCATTCTACTGCACTAGTTGTTCACAAATTATGTATGTAGAATATATGTATGTATATATGTACACACACATTCGTTGCCTATTTTCTTTTTAGGACCACAGTTTTTTTGATGGAAATAATACTTCAATATTTGTATTATGTCTAATGCTTGGAGCAATATTTTAACTGGTGTATCAGACTGTCATTCAATGTTTACTGAAATGAACTGGGCATACCAACTTCTTGGCACCTTTGAAGACATTCTTGAGCTGGAGAACAGAATGTAGAAATAGATAACCAAAGTTCTGAAAATGAGTCAGACTCCTAGTTAACTGCACCACCAATGCCTTCTACTTTGCTGTTTATTACTGAATTCTACACAAGACAATTAATATGGAAATGAGATATACGTACACATGTTAAAAAAGTGTAATATTTGTGACATTAAGTTATACAAATAAGTATGTACTGACAAAACAACTTTCACTAATGAGCCATTTAAAAAGTTCAAAGTTACCTCAAATGTTTGTCCTTCTAAGTCTTTTGCATCACACCAATTTCCCCATGGGTCTCGGACCCTACGTCTCCTTGTGCGCTGTGATGAAATTAAAATAAAGCAAAAGGTAACAAGATTAACTTGGAGAAATCGCAGCACATTAATATACAAAATCAAAATGATAATTTTTCTAAAAAACAACTTCTCTATTAAAATACTGTTAATCCCTGATCAGCAATGCCTTACTAAATTTTATTAATTTATGTTCGTTAGCACTCTGCTCAGAAATAAATCAGTGATTACTTTCAGTAATCTACTTGGATATCTTTAATTTTCATTTCTTTTTACCACTTGGGAGCTAAAACACTTGGACAAAAAATATTTTTTAAGACCAAAAAGAACCACAAAGAAAATGACTTCCCATTAACTTGTGGTAGAAAACTTGCAAAAATACACAGCAGGAGGTAAAATACTGAAAACCAGAAGCAAAATAGTTGTATCTCAGCCTTAGAAATGAAAAGACGGCTTAGTTAATACAAACAGTAAAAAATTACAACGTTAGGTAACGGGATTACTAATATCCAGTATTGCAAACTTCAATTCTAAAGTCTTTAAATGGACTAGCTGTCAAAGGCCACTAGCACCATCTCGGGCAACTATATTTGAAAACATCCTGTCTTTAAGTATATCTAGTAAGTACAAACAGGTAGTTACAGAATAGCCATGGGGATGTAAAGTACAGTAGAGGAAATGTAGTAGCCAAAGAACTTATACTAATAACTCGTGGACATGAACAAGGGTGTGGGGATTGCCTGAGGGAATGGGGGGTGCTGGATGAAGGGGAGCAAAGGGGGAAAAATCAGGGCAACTATAATAGCATAATCAATAAAATATAATTTTTAAAAAAGTATATCTAGGTAGATATGGTTTACAGCCCAAATACTCTGAGAAAGATATTCTTTCTACCATCTATACTTTATCCCACCCAATACCAATTTCACCTATTTTATTGGTTTACACCATGACTCTGTCTTTTAGGCTTGTTGCTAAACTTTTTAAAAATAAGACTCATGAATTTTAAACTATTATAAAACTCACTAACCTCAAGAATTAAAAAAAAAAGGCTAAAATATTTTGGATAGCTATTCCAAAAAGCTGAAATTCAAGGTAAAAATTTTAAACAAAAATAACTGAAAGAGAAAAAGAGCTTAACTGTACAGTTTTTAAAAAAATGTTACGATTTAGAAATCAAAACCAAGCAGTCTAAGGCCATTTTAGCAAAACATTACGCTTCTCTATGAAGGTTACCAGTGAATTTTGAGGATTTTTTTGGTTTGTTTTGCCTTATAAACCTATGTGAAATTGAACAAAACCAGAAAAATGAATGGCAAGGTAAAATACAAGAGGAAATACGTTGTTCCACCTAATGGCCATTTGTCAAAGAGCTGAAGAAAAGTAGATATACCTTACTTAGCAGGGTAAGGAGCAATTTGGAGAAATCATTTAGTGAGAGAGGTGGCTGCTTACCATGGACTGTAGACGCTGGGCAAGTTGATATGCTTCTACTGTATCTTTTCTGTCTTTGATTCGTACTTTATCAACTGGATGTGGCCTGTTATATACAGCCTGTTCTATTGGAATTCAGAAAAAACAAAACAATCTATTTTTTTATGAATTCATTTGTTAAATAGGAAGACATATCTACACTGTCTATACACTGTGAGCCAATTTCTAAGTTTCTTTATATCAGAGCTTCTATGATTCTATCCTGTTCCACAATCACACATTTTATGTGCCACTTAGTTCTCACATAAATGCAATTTGATTATTTACTATAAGGAAATCTCAATAAAATGAGATACTTAGGAAATGGGTAATTCGTTTCATTTTTGATTAACTCCACTTTGCTAACTTTGGAAGTCTAATATAGAAAGTAAGATTTCATTTTTCTTTTAGTGGCTGAGGAAGTTATGACACCTTAGTTTTCCTGAAAAGCTAGTCCTAATATACAATGCTTTGGGCAAACAAAGACCTCAGGGCAGACTCTAAATTCTACCTCTATATAAAATAAAATCATCTCTGACAGGAAGTTTTCTGGTTAATTGTCTTTTCATAGACACAGACTACTGAATACTCTTCTCAAACCATGGGTTGCAAGGTTCTAATTACCTTATCACTTTGCAACTATGGCATTATCTTTCTGTAAAAGGTTTGTGTCATGCTAATGAAAGGGTAGAATACATTTTAAAATATACATATTCATCAACTTTTATATTTGAGAAAAACTAGAGTGAAAAAATTTTCTTCCATAAAAAATGTTTTGGCATTTTTATTACATTTAAGTGTAGAGGCTCATAAATTATTTCCTTTATTTAAACACTGCTAGACAGTATTTCTAGCATGAATACAATATTTGCAAATTAAATGGGCTATTATTAGACTTTTCATAAAATAGTTTTATTTTTACTTGACAAAGAACTGCATTCTTAAATTATTTCTACTACTGAGACTGCATATATTTCCTTTAAAATTACACCACCAATTTTCACTGTAGGTAGATCAAAGGGAAATATAGTTTAATCAACAAAAATCTGTTTTACAGCAAAATCTTAATACATTTATTCTAAAATGTTATAGAATCTCTCTGAATCTCTCTCTATATATACCTAAGTCTACCTGAATTCTACCATTGAAGAAATTAATGGGTGCCATAAGGATAAAAATGTCAAGTAAAAGATGTTGTTGGGTTTTTATTTTTACCACATCCAAAATTGATTGCTCCTATCAATTCGAGGTATGTATGAATCCGTCCAATACAATTAACATCCCCACAGTTCTTCAGGCCAGGACGTACTGAGGTCTTATTTAAGTATTTCGGTTTGCATATCTCCCTAATTAAGAGATGGAAGTACAATTATTTTGGATAAATAAAAACATGAAAAAAAGATTTTCTGGGAAAAACTTTTAATATTTAAAATATCTTAAAAATTCACCCCCTCTCAATATGTCAATGTGTTGTAAATACAATACTAATCCATAATACCCAAGTGTACTTTTTTCTTGAAATAAAATATCTTTATATGATACAATAACTTACAAGAATACTGAGATTTTACAAGTATTATTTCTTCCCCAATATTAAATTCAATAAATTCCAATTATGCCAGGACTTTTAAGTTAGAAGCTTATTTACCTACAGATCCAAATTCAAGCCTCAATCTTTGAATTAAAAAGGGCACTTTGATAATATATTGAAAGCATTTAGTATTAGACTTTTTGAATTTTTAATATATCACTTAGGTTCATCTACTTTGGCTTTGTCGGAGAGTATCTTTTCATTGTAAACTACCTTATAAATACTTAAAAGTTTTATATTTTGTTTTTAATCATTATGCCAATAAATATTAAGTGCTTACTCTCAGTAAAAAAAAATAGAAATAGATATTATAGGGGATCTAAAAGGAATCAAGAAATGCCCAAAGGTTATGAAAGAAATGAGGTTTATATAATAAAAAACATATTCACTGAATATACTTAATGTACCATGATAAATGGTACAATATAGTTTAAGAGTAATAGAAAACTTTAATTACTAAGTGCTTATGCCAGATGCTCTACCAAGAGTTACACATCCTTAGTCCTCACAACAACTCTACAAGATAGGTGTTATTATTCTCATTTTAGTGATGAGAAACAAACGGTTGGAAAAATTAAAGCACTTAAGGAAGTGATAGGATGCAGATTACAAACCCAAGTATTCAGATAAATCATATAACATATGTATGTCTTATTCAATCTTTATTTTATCCTACAAATGTTTATTTTGTATCCTCTTCCTCAGGCATTGTTCTAGTCACTAAGGATACAGAGATGAATAGTAAAAGTTCCTGACCTTACATTCTAATGGGGGAGACAGTCAAGAAATTAATGAATAATATCTGTTGTATTGCTGGGTAGCAATAAATGCTAGGAAGAAAAGAGGCTAAGTAGATACAGTGAGACAAATAAGCACAGACTATTTTAAATAGGGTGTTTAGAGAAGGCTTCTCTAAGCGGAAACCAAATTCGAAATAAAAAAGTCTATAGAACCTCAGGGAAGGTGAAAAGTAACTTGTGATGTGGGAGGGTTTCAAAAGTTCCAATGAAAAGCTGAGATTTTGAATGTTTTGAAAGAAAACAAAACAAACTGCACACGTGAAAGCAAGAAAGCAGAAATGAGCATGGTGTAACTGGCTACTAAAAAACTCTACGAGTCTAAAAACTGAATTGAAATTATTAACAATTATCCAATCCAAATCAAAAGGTCTGAAGCAGAACTTAGTAATCTAGTACAGTGCTAAACAAATGGTAAGGCCTCTCAAAATATCTGTTCATAATATAATAATGACTCATTCATTCAATCTTTTCTCCCTCACAAATAGAGTGCCTTCTGTACCCAAGCACTGTTCTAAGCACTAGGGGTTTAACAATAAACAAATAGAGGAAAAAAATCTATTTGCATGGAGCCTGCATTATCTTTGGGGGATCCAGGGAGAGACAATACACAAACAAAACTATAGTAATTTCAGTGGTAATAAGTTCTACTAAGATACTTTAAAAAACAGGGTAAAAGAATGAGAGAAAGGAGATACATGAGCTATGTTAGATAGGGTAGTCAGAGAAGGCCTCTAATTTCCCTTGAGCAGAGGAAGCAAGATTCACCAAGATGTGGATGGGAAAGCATCCGAGGCAGAATGAAAAGTCCAGGTCAAGGCCCTGAGGTGGAAGTGTGAAAAACATGAATCGAGACCATACAGACTCTGGAAATCATCCACCTAAGTCACCTGCAGTAAGTTTCTTTTACTCTCTGAAACTCATTTTCCTCATCTGTAAAATGAGGACAGGTATCAAGAGGATTGGAGATGATTTAAATTCAATACATGGCATTTGGTAGGCATTTAATAACGGTATTGGTTACTATTTTTATTAAATTCCCCTAAACAGGGAGTTGATTTCAAGTGCTTTTACGAAAAGGTTCTTTTAGCTACAAGCGAATCTAACAGCTCTCTTTATATATTTAAAACATTAACTTTTCCTTTTATTTTTCAACACAACTTTAGTCCCTCATCACTCTCTCTTCTATTTCTGAAGAGAACATTAGAGTTCCTGTTCAAAACATTTTTTTGCTTTTTTCACCTTGAAACAGCAACACTTAACTGGTTTCATGAACTAAAGAAAATGACATCTTATACTATCTATATAAATTATCCTGCCTCACAGAATCCAAAATTCAAGGCAACAGATGAAATTTGATTAAAGTAACAATAAATACTCACTGATGATTGATATAGTCCTTCAATTTTGGCCACTCATCCTCTTATTTCCAAAATCAAAATTAGACAGCAGTAGAGGTCCAATTTAATTTATCTGTTTTAATAGTGTGAATTAGGTAATATGGAATAATGGAGTGATTTATAAAATGAAGACTTTCACTGAAGTCTGTCAGTGGCTGGTTGTATAATCAAAGGCAGGTCCCTAGGATGCTCCTGACCTCAGAATCAAATAGAGAAAATACCACCTGCCTGTTTTTACAGGATTGTTGTGAGGAATCAGATGATACTGAAAAGCTTTCTATAAACCCTAAAGCACTATGCCAATGTCAGCTGTTCTTTGTAAGTATTCTTTACTTTGATACCACCCTTACCCAGAACTTGTACTTTTAGCAATCTCAAATATATACAAGAACAAAAACAGAAATCTTTCTTTTAGAATATAGCTATCTTTAAAAGCCAAATCACTTAATATTGTGTGGCAAAATGAAGGTTACTGTTTCACTGAACCTTGTTTTCCTTTGGAAATCTTCCTAGATTACAGCAGAAGCCCTCTGTAAGCATGGCCCTACATAATCCTGAAGCAGTAACAACAATTATGAATGTTAAATGATGCCCTAAACTATTATGAAAACTTCAAATTACTTTCAGAACACCTAAGCTAATAAGGTGGAAAGTTTTTTCATCTGTTCTCCATCCCTCACTAACTAATTCAAGTAAAAGGTACTGAAAAGTTAGAGTGAACTTCATATATCAGAAAATTCCTGTTTCCTGATGAAGCTGGATGAAGGAATGAACAGATTATGTCACAGGTCCAAAGTTGAAAGCATTTAAGGCAGCTATGTAGGAGAATGGTTTTTGCGATCTAGCCACATTCAATGACACTATCCTTCTGTCACAGAAGTTTTCTTTGTACTTCAAAGCACAGGGTAAACTAGAAAACATGTTATCCCTCTTGTCCAGAACAGTAGTGCTTTCTGTATCTCCCTACCACTGTCCTAAGAAACTGCCCCTTAAGTCAATCATGTATCCCTTCCCTTTCCAGGCCCAAACACTTGTAATGAGCAAACAGACGGATGAAGATAGCTACAGATGACAATGTTACCAAAGCTTTCCAAAAAAGTTTCACTATAAGAAATTTTAAGTCTTGCTTAACAAAATATATTATGTTAAGGCTCTCTGGATCATTAGCATTGTAAAATACTAAATTCTGCATAAGCCTAATTAAAAGAGTATCGTAGGTTTTAAAACCGCATCTATAACATAATATTCCCTTACCACTGATCCAAAATGTAATTCCTAATTTTCAAATAGCGTTCTGGTGTTTTAGCTTGGCGCCCCTCAAAAAACTCAGGAATTGCTTGTTTTTCTTCTTCTTGAATAATATTTCTATCTATTTCTACTTCCTGCTCTGGTGGCTTAAGCTCTTCTTCCTCATGGTGCTCCTCCTCCATTTGACAGTAGGAATGAAAAAGCATTTCATTATCACTCAAATCTTTCTGAACTTCACAAGGCTCTGGAGAAGGCAACAGCCTGGTATCATCTACTATTCCATTTCCATCATGCTTATCACAACTTTTTATCAGTTTATTAGATTTCTGATCATTTAACTCAACTGATTTTTGGTCACTGGTGCCCTGTTTTTCAGTCCAAAATGTAATTGCCGAGCTTGAAAGTGTTTCCACCTCACCATGCTTTAAATTCTGAAGACATTCTTTGGAAGATTTAGAAATGCAATCTTTCTGACTGTCAGAGGTGTTAAATTCTCCTTGGTAGGTTTCACAATTTTTACTATTAGGGATGTCTAATAAGAGATCACTGCTAGGATTCTCCTGGGGTGCTTGAGAAGTCATCTCATCTGCCTCATCTGTGATGTCTACTTCTTCATCATCAGATAACTTTTCAATTTTTACAGCATTCAAGTTGGGATCAGCACGGCCCCTTAAACTTGATGGTGCCCATGCCTTTGTGCTTTCATCTTCACTTTTAATCTGACGATCACTGCTGTTCTTCTGATTTGGTGTTTTCTTCTCCAGACCATCTAATTTCACCTTATTAAAAATCAAGATAAAACCCCATATATAATATTACAAATTTAATCATTGGCAGAAAAAGTATGATAATGCAATGTTATTAAACTGAGTAAATGTCATTGGCATATTGTACTTTACAGTATTTTTCTTTAGAGTGTGTACTGCTATTTTAAATGCGCAATTAATATTCTGTTCTTCTGTTTATATGAAATTAAGTAGAATAACATAATACCTATTTAATAGGAACACTCACAACACTGAAAATATGCTTTGAGATTTTTGAAGATAAATATCTGCGAAGTACTTTATGGGTATAAAATACCTCTGACATAAAAAAAACTTTGAACATTAAGACTTTACTGCCTGAATTAAAAAATTTGACTTATTAATTTTATTTATTTAAAATATTATTATTATAAAGACAGTTATATTCTGCTTACCTTATTTTTAAAGTACTGTCTGGCATAACTCTTCACTTGTAAAACAGTGCGACTTCCAATTAGCTTTGCAATTTTGGTCCACCTTCGGCCAAATTTAGCCTATATTATCAAAATGGAAAAGAGACTGCCTTTGTTGAATTTACTTGTTAATAGTCTAAGCAACTGCCACATTAAAAAAGAAAAGCAAACTAAAAGTAACTCATCTTTATTTTCTAAAGCACACAAGGAAGCCTCATATATAGCTAAGACTCTTAAAAATCAAAGCTAATATTCTTCCTTTGGAATCTGGACTTACGAACACTGAACAAATTGTTTAGAAACTAGTTTTCTTTTCATAGCTAAATGAAGATAATATCACTTTTATGTATTCCTAACTGTCTGTATTCATATTATGATGTTCTAAATGTTAAGATAATGTTACGTTAACTTAAAAAAATATTTGAAAGGGAGGCAGGTTGCATTTTCCATTTATACAATCAACTGAGTATCTTCTGACACTAATTTAAAAATACCTTTTTACCCAGATTCCATTTGTTACAATATCCATTATACATACTACAGCAGATATTATAACTCTACACAGACATCACAGTGAACTGACTTAGAACAGTGAATCACATTGCCCTGGCCAGCGTGGCTCAGTTTGTTGAAATGTTGTCCCATAAACCACAAGGTCACGGGTTCTATTGCTCATTGGGTCGGGGCACATGCCTAGGTTGCAGGCCCGGTCCCATTTGGGCACGTATAAGAGTAATCTGATTGATTTCCCGCCCCCTCACATCAATGTTTCTCTCCCTCTCTCTCCCTCCCTTCCCCTCTCTCTGAAATCAATATGCACATCCTCAGGTGAGGATAAATTTTTTAAGAAGTGAATCACAAATGAAGTGACCTGCAACCAGCACCTCCCTACATACCTCTACTGCAAGTCCACCTCCTAACACTAAAGCTGTGATGATAAAAAAAACTTAAGAACTTGAGGGAGTTCTGGTGTGTTGTGAAATATATAAAAGAATAAGTATAATTTTAAAGCTAAAAGGGCTTTTTAGGTATCCAGTTTATCATTTGATAACATACATAAACCTCCTTTATAACATCTCTAACACAAGATATGTTCTATTTCCCAAAGTAGCTCAACAATTTTAACTTTTTAGAATTCTTAAAGCTACGAAAAACAAATTTTACAAAACCCTGCTACTACTCAGGGAAACTTATCACAGAGCAGATTTACAGGCCAGGCAGTTATAACTTACTGTAGCAAGACATCTTCAAAGATCTGACCCAAATGATAAACCTTAACTTATACAATTATTTCTGGCATTCCTTAGAAAATCTGACACATAGAAAATTTCTTAAAACTGAAAGTACTTCCGAGAAAGTTACTAGCAAGTGTAAATTAATTATTTATATTGCTCTTAACTAACACCTAGTAGAGATCAACTTACTGAAGAATTAATTATTTTTATTTTGGGATAAAGTCAAGTCAAACAGGCAGCATGGAACACTTTTGGAGACAGGAAAGATCCTGATCAAGTGTGACCAGTAGGGATTTTAAGGGCTCGGGCACTTTGAAATTTAGGAAGGGCCCACTAACAAGAGCAGCAAAGAAAACATTCATCAGTTTTAAAATAGAGCAAAGGGACAACCCTATGACCAAGAAAGGGAAGGAAAAATCTTCCTTTATCATTCAGTACCACATAATTCTCTTCTCTCAAACCTGAGAAAATCAGTCTATAAGCAAACTACATCAAAAGGTCAAAAAGGTTGAAATACAACCAACAGTTCCATGTATTTTTGTGGGAAAACATTTTAAGTTTAAAATATGTTTATGTATATAAATACATATCTACATATGTATATAAATAAATACACATTTGCTTATACAGAGATAAATATATCTGGAAGGATACACAAAAACAGATGAAAATTGTTGTCTCAGGCATAGAGAACTGAAGATTGAGAAAAAAGTCAGACTTAACACCATATAACTTTAGGTTCCTTTGAATTTTGAACCATGCAGATGTAGCTGCCATAACTACTATCAATGCTGACAATAATAACCTAAAACTTCACAACCTACTTGCATTGGTGTGTGTAGATATGGTCTTTGATAAGGGGCAAAACACCGAAGTTGTCAGCAATCTTAAATAAATGGCTGGTTAGTTCAAGTTATATTATGTAAATGATAATCATGCAACAGACTGAAATACCAATATAAAAAAAACAAAACAGCACAGGAAAAAAATCTCAGGAAGAGATAAAACTCTCAAAATAGTTTTGGTATTTATATAAAAACATCATAGAATATATACATGTCATGGTAATGACTAAATATAAAAATACACACACATTTTATTTCCTATCATCTGTAGAAACATTAATAATAATATTTCAGTTAGCATTTATGAATCCTACATAATTATATAAATATTCTATGTTTTATATATATATATATAAAATTTCAAAATTAATTATAACATGAGGCAATATGTTCCTTAAAGGAAATGATATAACCTATTCCCAATAGTTAAAAAAATTCTGAACATTTTATTAAGTTTCTTCATATTAAGGAGTATTTTCATAATCAGAAATTGGCATGCATATTTTTCCATTATGTAACTTGTAGACATCTATATAGATCTCAGTGAAACATTCATGTAAAAGAAATGTTTTGTTTTTAATTACATCCACTAAAATATTTAGATAGTATGCACAATGCCAAATATCTGAATAAAACAAACTCAACCCAGACAGTTTCAAATACACAAGTTTGTTTCTCCAAGAGAAAGTATCATAGCTGAATAATTTTGCATTTTAATCCAGGTAGTTGGTGTCATGTATACAGAGGCAGCTCAATTTGTGGGTTTTATTAGTATAAAAACTATCCAAAATATTAATCTAAATCTATTTTAATATTTTAGTAACTTAAATGAGTTAAATTCTCTTGTACTACTCTACAAACATCATCATTCTAACTATAAAAAAGCTATAGATATCATCATTGTAATTAAAAAGGAATTTCTGGTCTCTACAAATTAATTTAACCTTATAATTCTATCAGTATTTGCTTCTAGAATTATTTTACTATAAATCAAAAATTGCTCTATTTACCAGCCCTTGTTCAAACAGCTGTTTTTCTTCTATTGTCCACTTTACTGAGAAACTGGCTGGTTTTGTAGGAGACTGTACCCTGAGGAAAAAAAGGAATTGCAAAAAAAATTTCTGAAATGGAACATTCCATATTTATGCACCTAAAGGTTACATATAGCCATGAACTAAATTCAATACTCTTGGTCTAAGAAAATAAATAAATAAATAAAGGAGGAAGAGGAGGAGGTGGCTGCAGCCTAGGTTTACCCTGTCTCAAGTATTTCTCTAGCTTAGGATGATTAGGAGCCCCAAAACACATAATCCTTGGGTTGGAGGGAAGGTAACACTAAAAGACAGCAAATGAAGTCAATCAGTGTGAAAACAAATAGAGTTCCTTTTATTGGACACAAAGCAGCAGATATTAATATGTTTCCAAATCCTGAAAGGCATGCAAAAATTTAAACTGACTCCAGAAATAACATCTCTTTAATTCTTGAAACAAAAAAACGATGGTGTTATGTTTATTGTTTTTTGAAATTGCAGTATTTTAAGAAATTAAAATAAGAGTGATAAAGCTCACTAATTTAACTCAAAACAAACCATTAATCTCTTTATTAACTTCACTTTCTGTTCTTGTTTATTCACCAAAATGTAAAAGCCAAAGCCTGTTCAGTGCTCAAACTCTTGACAGTTGCAAATCTGCAACCCTAACCCTTTAAGGGACCACAAACATGCAAGTTTATAAACATTAAATAAAATAGTTAATATTGCCCTGGCTGGTGTGGCTCAGTGGACTGCATGCCCGCACGTGAACCAAAGGATCACCAGTTAGATTCCCAGTCTAGGGCACATGCCTGGGTTGCAGGCCAGGACCTCAGTAGGGGGCACATGAGAGGCAACCACACACTGATGTTTCTCTTCATCTTTATCTCTCCCTTCACCTCTCTAAAAATGAATAAATGAAATCTTTTTTTAAAAAGTTACTATTGGGTTGGCCAAAATGTCCATTACATTTTTTCCATACAATGGCTCTAGTAGTGCCTAGGTGTCTTTAACTTTATTTGAAACAATTTTGTTAAGATTGTATTTTGGCAGCTGTCATATCAGTGTGCATTTAAAAAATACTTATTAAAATTGGTGAATTTTTGTACAGCCATTTTAATTTTGAAGTGGAAGAAAATATATAACATTTAGGCATGTTATGTTTTATCATTTCAAAAAAGGTAAAAACACAACTCAAAATTCAAAAAAATTTTGTGCGGTGAAGAAGGTGTCAAAATGGTTTGCGAGTTTCTTGGTACTATTGACTTTTTGGCCAACTAATTCTTTGCTGTGGGGCTATCTTATGCACTGGAAGATGTTGAGCAGCACCCCTGGTCTCTACCCACTAGAAGCTAATAACAGGAGATAGCTGACATACTCAAAATATCCAAATCATAAAGTTATTGGTGAAAACAAAAAAAAGTGTCTTTTATTTACATAAAAAAATATAATAGGCTTTTAGGCCAATCCAATAGTTAGTTTCTTTAATTTTTGAAGACTACAAATTCAAATTAAATTTTTGTTTGGCATGATTGAAAATTAACTGTAAGAGCAATAAAGGGCAAATTAATGCCTAATATATTAAATAGCAGATTTTAGAAGTTTCCCAACAAATCCCTAGGACACCATCTTTTCCATACTCTAATGGAATCAAAAGAAAATTCTAGCAAATAACATTAGAAAAATACCTTGGGGCATTCCAATATGTATACAAGAAATTTTGATTTTTATATTTTTGTATAACTCAAGATCAAGAAGGCTTTTTCACAGGCCAGCTATAATTTAATTTTCAACTAATAAAAAATATTTTAAAGTATAAAATGTAAGTACATACATGATTTTTGCTGTTTTCTGTGGGCTGCAGCACATGAAAAAAGAAAATAAGGAAGAGTGTGAAGTTTTTAAAAATATTATTCAGACTTTTAGAAGTATGATAAATCGATTTTTACCTCTTCATGTATTTTTTATCATCTTTCTTTTGATCAAGCCAGAATTTTTCTGGAAGTGATTTTTTAGATAAATAATACCTGTGTAATTATTAAGGAAACTTCTAAAATAATATTAAAGTTATAACTTTTATGAGACATATAAAGTAGGCACTGATATTATATATCTATGAAAGTCACACTCAAATCCTAGCTAAACCAATTCCTCTCAAAGCTCTTTTCAGGTCTGTACAAATTTTGATACAATGATCTATACCCCACAGCGTTGTTACATGGATTAAATATTACATGTAAAATCTTACAGCATGGTGCCTGCATAAAATGTGTGCTACATAAACGCTAGTTTCTCTTACCTTCCCTTTTAGAAGTGGCTAAGAGAAAAAACAGCCTCAATGTTTTACTTAGTTCTTTTTTCCTAAAACATATGGTGAATATAATAGATGAATTCGATTGGTTGTCCAGGGTAACTTAGACAATCAATTGTTTTCATATTTCTCAAGGTAAGATTAGAGTTTAGGGTTATTCTCTACCCTAATAAAAATAACAAACAATTAGGTCAAATCTACCAGAAAGCTTCCCTCTCAAACTTATTAAAACTGGCTTCTGCAATACTCTTCATCAGAAATATTCTTCACTAACAATCACTGACTGTATATCGTGTTATGTCAGGCACTATGTGAGGTACTAGGTACTGAGGACAAAGAAACAAGAAAATATTATCCTTGTTCTCCAAGAGCTGACATAGCTTTTACTTTCATTATTTTTTTCCCAAATTTGGAAGTGGACCAGTGACTACTTAAGTATTCATTAATCTAGAATTACGTTGTTCAACACATTAACCCATAGCCACACGTGTAACTAGTGAATATTTGAAATGTGGCTGGCAGGAACTGAGATGTACTGCTAAGTATAAAACACACACTGAATTTCAAAGAGTATGAAACAAAGAATGTAAAAGATCTCATTACATTTTTATATTGATTAAATGTTGAAATAACATTTTCAATACACTGGGTTAAATAAAGTATATTATTAAAATTAATTGAATCTGTTTTAAATAAGGCTACTAAAAAATTTAAATATGCTACTCACACTATTTTCTATAAAAAGCAATGATATAGGCTATAATGTCTGCAGGGGGTGGGGGGGTGGTTAGAGAATAAAGCCTAAACAGGATTAACCTTTGATAATTAAAGGTACAAAGACACTCTGAAATCAACATAGCAATAACTGGGAATAAAAGTAATAGAACACTTTTGGCTTAAAAGGAAGTAGAAATCTGTGAAATATAGATGAAAGAATTAAAAGTAAAATGCTATTCATTAGACTATTAATAACCTTTATAAATCATAAAATCAGAAATAATTATGTTCAATCTTCTCATTTCAGGTGCAATTTCACATGAGTTGAGCTCTATCTGGTGTAGCTCAGTGGATTGAGCACCGGCCTGTGAACCACAGGCTCGCTCTTTCAATTCCCAGTGCAGGGCACATGCCTGGGTTGCAGGCCAGGTCCCCAGCAGGAGATGCATAAGAGGCAACCAAACACTGATGTTTCTCTCCCTCTCTTTTTCCCTCCCTTCTCCTCTCTAAAATTAAATTTGAAAACAAAAAAACAAAGAAACCAGGAAGAAAACTGAGTCCCAAAGAAATTAAGCTGCCAACATCATATACAGATGAAAGAAACGTGGACAAGCAGCTAGTGGCTGAACCATGGATAAGAATCCACAAGTTCTGGAGGAAAAATATCTTTATCCTTTTGTATTTGTTTTGTGCTTTTTCCTTAGATTCCTCTCACATAAAACCTGTAAATCAGTAGAGTAAGAAGTGAGAACTTTTACATATTCTAGTTCTGTGTCCTTGGACATAGCAACATCTCTGGATTTCAGTTTACATAATTGAAAATGGAGGATTGTATTAAATGATCTTGGACTAAAGGTTTAGCTAACTTAAAACACTGTTTAATTTCAAATCAGTGTTCAGACAGTATAAAGAGTTGGATGACAAGAGAAACTCAAAAACACTGAGTCATATTTCAGACTTAGCAATGAAACAGAACCAGAAGAATAAAATGCAGTTTTTTGCATAGGCAGGTAACATATTACATAGTAGCAGTCTGGGGCCAAATATAATCCATCTAGTAATTATCAGTGGTTTTTTCTGTAAGTTTTGCATTTAAAGGTTTTTTAACACTGAAATCTTTTTTCCTCATAATCATTAAAGGATACTCTTCTTCCAACAACATTTTCTCAATGACAGCTCTGTTCTCTTCACTGATGGTGTTATCCAGGGTCCAAGGCTATTAAAAAAGAGAATATATTTTTCTTTTTATTTACTACTACTTGAATTATCTTCTATGTTTGTTAAATGAAAATACATAATGATATAATGATTACCAATAATAACAGCTATCATTTACAGAACACAAAGACATATCTTTGATTCCCACTATAACTCTATGAGATAGGCATTATTACATCCATAGCGCTGATAGCATTTCAAGTGGGAGGGCAGAAACTTCACACACAGGTCTGTTAGATTCCAAGGCTCAAGCTCCTATCTATGATAAAGTAATAGTGGCTATAATGTATGAAAAACTTAGTTATCAGCATTTTGCTAGATACTTCATCTATGCCCAAAACTCACAATTCTTTTTTCCTTCCTTGAATGATCACACTCATTTTCAACTCTCTACACTTAAAAAATTTTCAAGTCAGGTCTCTTCTCCAAGGCTCTGTCTAGACTGTTATTTCCAACTGCCCCCTCAAAGTTACATGGGTATCTAGTAGGCTTCTTGATTTTAACATTTAAAACATAACTCACCATCCATACCTTCCTTCACCTGCTGCTTCCCCAGGCTTCCTAGCTTTATAAATGGCACTACTTGTCAACAAGTTATTTCAGCTAGAAACCCATGAATCATCCTGGATTCTTTCCTTTTCCCTCAATCCCATAACCAATCTACCAAGCAGCTCTACCTTCAGTATAGATTTTGTTTAAAAAAAATTTTTCACTTAGCATAATACTCTCCAGTTCCATCCATGATCTCACTTATAAATGGAACCTAACCAAAACAAACTGAAATAAAGAACGAACTGACAGTGACCAGAGGGAAGAAGGAACGAGAATAACAGAAAAAAAGGGAAGGAACATGTATAAAGGACCCATGGACAAAGACAATTGCGGGGGGAATGAATGTGGGAGGTGGCAGGTGGGCAGAGCAGGGGAGAGTGAGGGGGGGAAAATGAGGACAACTGTAGTTGAACAATAAAAAATTTTTATTTTATTTTATTAATTTATTTACTAGAGAGAGGGGAAGGGAGGGAGAAAGACAGAGAGAGAAGCATCGATGTGAGAGAGAAACATGCAAAGGTTGCCTTTTGTAAGCACCCCAACCGGGGTTGGAACCACAGCCTAGCCATTTGTCCCATTTGGGAATTGAACTGGCGACCTTTCGGTTTGTGGAACGACGCCTAACCAACTGAGCCACACTGGTCAGGGCTCAAAATGTAATTTAATTAAGTATGTCCATTTACATCTCTTCTGCTACAATCTCAGGCCAAGCTGCCACCAAATCTTGCTTAGATTACTCATGTTTCCTAACTGGTTTCTTGATTCCACTCTTGCTTCCTGCAAATACATGACAGAGCCCTCGTCTGCCTCTCCAGCCCCGTCAGAGCTGTCACCGCCCCCCCCCGCAACCATATTTTAGACACTGGCTTCCAACCAGAGCCTCTGTGCTGATATTCCTTCTGCCTAGAATGCTCTTCCTCAGCTCCTCACTTATCCACTCCTCTCTTTCTATTACTTTTCAACTTAAATGTCACCTCCTCAGTTTCCCTCACTGACAACTTTATCTAAAGTAGGTTCCTATCCTATTACTCTCAGTCAGCATCTAATGTCCTTTATGCTTTATAATTAGCCTGTCCATTTATCACCTGACTCTCCTTCAGACTATAAGCTCTTTGAGAACAGAACCATGTCTGTTTTGATTATAGTTGAAACCCCCAAATCTGCCCTAGTGTCTGGCACATATTAAGTACTTAATAAATAACTGTTAAATGAGGAAATGAAACCTGTAATGTTCCCCATTTTTCAGGTGACAAAACTGAGGTTCACAATTCTGGCAAGTGACAGAGCAAGGATCTGTACCTAAATCCAGAAAGATCCAAAGTTGTTTCCCAACAAGACATTTTTCATAATCAAAAGAAATGCTTCTGCCATTTTTACAGTAAGAAAAATATTTCACTATATTACTTCTGTGAGTGCTGAGAACTAGCACCAAATTTAAAAAAAATAGGTACTCTGGGTAATGAATAATATCTTAATGTACTCGATATTTTCATAAAATACTTACAATAAGACCATTCTCAGTTCTCCAGGATGAATCAAGATAGTGATCTTGTAAAATAGATGCTGTATTTTCATCGCTTCTGTAATAATTAAGAAAATAGGTATAGAAGTGATATTATACCAGTTAATATATACAATTTACACAGCAGTAACTGGCAGGCTGAGATGGTAACCAAATATTTAGTTCCCTTCTCCCCTTAACAAACAGACTTAATGATGCAGAAATGCCTGCTCTACCCCTTTGGACTGTGAAATATACAGTGGCTAAATATACATGTACATATCTCTGCTGCTGGTGCTGCTGGGGCAGCAGCAGGACCTCTGGCACGTCCGCTGGAGCCGCTGTGCGGGGCGGGGCGGGGCGGGGGGTGGGGGGAGGTGCGTGGACTGCCCACATGACAGGAGTAAGAACACTGAAACACCTCATTTCAAATAAAAAAAGAAAATAGCAGTCTATGCAGAGTTGTTTGTTTTGGTTTTGTACAAATAGAATAAAAAGTCATTGCTTTGGGGGTGGCGCCCAGCAGGTGGGTCAGGAGCCCATGTGGCTGGCTGGCGGAAGGCCCGGCTTGGCGGCCCTCTTGTAGTGCCTATATATGTTAATTGCTGAACATCAAGTTTGTTCACTTCTTTTATTTCCCAAGAAAACAACTTCATGAGAAAAAAAATTCCCCAAAGCAGCAACCACACATGCTCTATAGCCATGAACCAGCACTTCAGATTTCTTTTGAGGAATATCCACGTGTATGTAGACATTTAACTTAACAATTAATTCTTTTACCTCTTAAAGCATAAAAGCCACCATCACTAAATAGCACCGCCCTTAAAATGGAGGGGAAAAAAACCCCCAAGAGTGGAAGAACCGAAATACAAATTACTTGAAGAAGGACGGTACAATGAAGATGTAAGAAAGTGTGATGCTTTAATAACAGCTCATACAATTTAACAAATTAATTTGGGGGTTTATTTGGGCTCTTTTCTATGTCGATAGGGAATTAACTTTGCTAATTCACTCCTTTCATTAAACTAGTAAGAACTCCTTAAAGCTACATGTTCACTTCATATACAAAAAGGCTGAATAGTTAAATATTTAAGTTTTGGGAGACCCGATTTAGGATATAATTAAATTTAATATTTGCTTTTGTATGCCCTGAAGTTATAAAGTTTCCTAGTTAAGTTATTGACTTTTCCCAGACCTTGCATAGTGCTAAGAATGTGTACCTTTTAAACTGCGAAAATTTATCTACACATTTATATTTTTGAGTCTTTAATTAGTCCTACAGAGGTTATAATAAATTCTGGAGCTAACAGACCATCTAGAACATAATAAAAGCAAAAATGTCTCTCAATTGTTAATTGAAAAAAGGTTTAACTCAAGTGTTAACTCTGATTTGGTAGGGTCTACCAGAAATGTGAAATTTAGGATTCTGAGACTTGTAACAGCAGAAGAAAATCTTTACTTAACTAACTAGGTCTGCCAAAAGTGAGACTGGTATCACTTCTAGCTTACTTTAGAAATCTTTTTACATAGTATTCCTCAATAAGGATTAGCAATATCCACCGCTCTGGAGTATGTATCTGGACACCTACCTGAATCTCCATAGGAGCTACAAATTAACATGTTTAAACCTGAGTTCACTTTTCCCCTATAATATGCTACTCTCCCATCGTTACTTATCTCAGTCTTTGGCATCTCCATCGCCCAAGAGGGCCAAGCCAGAAATCTGTGCCTGCCTTTTTTTCCTCAGAATGTATTAATTAATACATTCAACGTGTTGCCAATTCTTTTGTTTCTCCCTTTTCCAAATCCAGTTCTTACACTATATCCACACTGACCTTTGAGATCCTGTAGTTTTAGACCTTATAATTTTCCCTGGTTAACTGCAAAGGACAAAGTTGACAAGTCATCCACCTTCTTGGTGAGGCATGGGTCACAAAGCTCTCTAAGGAGTTAAGGAATGCAGACGACTTTATCATAAAGTCAACTGGGGATTAAAGAAAATAACATGTTCTGATCTAGGTGTAAGAAAGAATGCTCTAACTTCAGGGAGGAGTAGAAGAAGGCAAAGAGACAAGGAGCAGTTAAGAGGGAGTGATTATATAAATACTAGAAAAAGGTGACAATAACTTAGACCTAGGAAACAAGCAGCGTGAATAGGAAGAAGTGAATACAGTTGACAGGATACTCAGAATCAACAGACTCTTCATAACTGATAGAAGGAGTGGAAGGAGAAAAGTAAGAAAAAGGGTTGGACCATGTTCCTTGGGTGACTGGGTGGGTGGTGCCATTTACTGAACCAGGGAACCCAGAGAGGCAGGTTTGGTAGTGGAAGTTTATAAGCTGAGACTGAGGTGTTTGTGGAACATCCAAGTGCAAACAGATTCAGAAAGTTGGATAAATGGATCTGAAGCTCAGGAGAGATTTGGGTTGGCAGGAGATTTGGGAAACATCAACATGCATGTATTAGGTTAACTTATGAAACTATAAAACTGGTCAAACATTGACAAAATTTCCTATGGTCCTACCCAACAAACAGAAATTTAAGTCTCGAGAGATGGTATCATCAGGGACTGAGCAGAAGTCTTATGACAAAACCCCTGGGAACATTATGATTTAAAGGACAAGCAGAAGATAAGGAGGATGAGAAGAAATGGAAGGAGAAGTGGAAGGGAAGTCAAAAAGTTTCAACGCTATCTTCTAACTTTGGTACCTAGACTTAGTAAGTGCAAATGCTCCTTGACTTATGATGGAATTCTACTGGTGCTGCAATGGAGCCAGTTTCCCTGAGGTGGTCAAACCATTTAAAAGAAAGTTTAGTGTAACCTGAAAGATAACTGTTTAAGTAGCGGTTCATTCAAAATTAGCATAGTACTAAAAGCAGATAAAAAAGTAACTCACTAAATGCTCAGATTTTAGGTTATATGATAAACTTTTAATTCATGTTCTAATACTATTGAGTCTAATAATTCCTCTGTTATATTTTCCTCCTTTTCTAAACAGACAATCCTATGTCCTGATAAACCCATCAAAGATGAAAATCTCATGTCAAAAAAAATGCATTGACTACATCTAACCTAACAAACATCACAGCTTAGTCTTAAATGTGCTCAGAACACAATATCCAAAAAACATTGGCAACACAGTTCACTGAAGAGTATCTGCTGTTTACCCTTGGGATCCAGGGCCTAACTAGGATTTGGGGGTTTCTGCCAATGCACAGCATCCTAAGAGAGTGTCATACCTGCATATCACTAGCCAGGGAAAAAAATCAAAATTCAAAATTCAAAGTATGATTTCTATTGGATGTATACTGTTTTTGCACCACCATAAAGTTGAACATCTTGTCAGGGGCACTATTGCCCAGAATGTAATGTTACTGGTACTCCTTGGAGTTGGTAAGGCAATGATTCTGACCAAAAGGAACCCATAACCTTTGTTGTCTTCCCTGCATAAAACTAAAATGCTCATAGGTACCACCAGTAGACCTAAGGCTCAAACAGAGCAAGAAGAGAAAGGAAAGAACACGAGGAAATGGAGAATAATTATATACAATCAGAAAAATAAAGAAGAACCTATGGAAGAGCCAATGTTCTCAGATGAGCTTTAGTGTTTCCAAGGTTAACTTATTTCTCTCTGGACAACAGGTAGTATCCTTGCCCACTTAACTCAGAGACTTCTTATGAAAAGTATATTAAATCATGCATGCAAAAGCATTTGGTCAAGATTAACCTGACCTACACAAATGTTAACAATGCTTGTTATTAAAGGATCTCTCCTCATTTTGTATAGCTTTGGACTGCTCTGCTTAAAAATTTTTGGGAAAAATGACTATATATTAATTTAGTTACTCCACACACTTTTTTTTTCATTGCTTTTTAGAGAGAGAGGAAAGGAAAGTGAGAAATATCAGTGAGAGAGAGAAGCACTGCCTGGTTGCCTCCCCTATCTGCCCTGACCTAGGATGGGGACTTAGGATCAAACCTGCAACCCAGGTACTGTATTTTGTCGGGTATAATGCGCACATTTTTGCTCAAATTTTTGAGGGAAAAATAAGGATGCATATTATATATGGGTAGTACTAATTCTATATCTATATAAATGTTTTAAATTCTTATTTATGCTTATGCATTAAAAGTGTAACTCTAGAAAGCAATAACAACATCCATATGCAAAATACCCTGGAATACAATAATCGGCTTTATAGATAGATAAAAAATTGAATTAAAAAATTAAAACGAAATATTTTCCTGAAAGTTTGGGCCAAAAACGTGGGTGCACGTTACATACAGGAGCGCATCATAAACGGCAAAATACGGGTATGCGCCTCAGCCAGGAATCAAACCTGCAACCCTTCAGCTACAGGAGGATGCTCCAACCAACTGAGCTACACTGGCCAGGACAATTACTCCACACATTCTTAGGGTGCTTTGGAGTTCACAAGTGCTTTAAGTCCTCTTTGTCCCCCTTGGGCAAGGTTAGCATTCTTCTCCACCATATACAGAGGCCCTAATATTAGGTTGCACCATATGAAACTGCCCCTCCATAGGGGAAAAACGGCCTAAGATTGGAATTTTCACATGGTTCCACCTACTTGAGTTCAAATGAAGTTTTTCACAGTTACAAGCAACATAACTGGCTGAGTTGGAACCAAAGTCTTTTGATTCCTCATCAGTATAGGTCTCTTCCATTACTAAAAGGAGGATGTGGAAGCATATTTTACAATGGTATGTATCAATTTCTTACTCAGAAAGCAAGGAGTCAAAGAGCTAGATAGATATCTCAAGCTGGACGTTGCTGTTTAAAAACCACATCGGCCTGTTATGCAGCAATCAGTTGACTCCTCCCTCGGTCCTACCACAGCATCCCTGAGGGTAACGGGATGCTACAGAGCACATTGACAGAACACCTACCACATGCAAAAATGCATCCCATGATTATTTCACTGGTTCTCCCCAATGACTGTATGAGGTACATTCATGACTGTCAGTTTACACACGAGCTGTCAGAGGCCGAGGCAAGCTAAATACCTGGCCCAAGGTCACACTGCTAGTAACCGGCAGGGCCAGCCAACGCAGGAGAAACCAGAGCTGTCCAGCTAAAGCCCTACTCTGATTCTTACAGTCAAGCTGCCTCTCAAGAAGTTTTCCACAACTATCCCCATGTGGAAAAGGAAACCTGTGGCCTATAGGAATGAAACGACAGGCCCAAGGTCATACATACGGCTTGCAAATAATGGAACAAGGAACCCTGAGCTCAGGTCCCATCCAGGGGCCGCCCTTGTACTAGAGCTTGTCAGGCAGAGGCGAGGGGCGAATTTTGAGGTGGAGGTAATGGAATAAGGAATCTAATCGTTGGACAGAGTGCAGCGTGCTAGGCGAAGTCGGCGCCCTCACAGTATCCCGGTAAAAGGTGAAATTGCCGTCCGACACTAGCCCCGGGTACCCCGCCGCTGGGCTCAGGAGTAGCCGGCTGGCGGGATGGGCGCGGCCCTCCTCCGGCTATCAGGATCCCGTGACCCAAAAAATGTTCTTCCGCATCCCTTTCTGTTGACACACCCACGGCCTTTCTAGGATACTCTCTGCGCATCTGCGCCCCTCCGCGACCCGGTCTCTACGCCTCACCCGGGCTGTGCTGCCGCAGCAACCACGTCCCCTTCAATATCCACATCCGCCTCTTCAGCCGCCATGATGGGACCTGACCCTATCCGTTCTCCCGAGATATCCCGCGAGAGGTGGAAAGCCAGGGGGCGGGACTATGTGCGTCACGCGGGGGAGTTGAAGCCCTGTCCAGCTCCTCCCAAACCGGCGCTTCGGAGACAACCCCAGCGGCCTCGGGGTCGTTTTGACTTTTGTTGACCTTTGAAGACCTTGGGAAGTTACCTAGACTTGGTTTTTGAAGGGATTATATTATTGGACAAATTCTTTTGCCCCTCGCCTCTCTCATTTGTAAAAAGAAGATAAGAGTAAATATCTATGTGGAATGTGCTTTGAACTGGGAAGGTGGCTGCAGTGAGAGACCCTTACCGGCTGGGTTCTTCTTTTTTTCTTTTGCTCTCTTTTCGTTTCTTTTTTCTTTTCTTTCCTTCCTTCCCTCCCTCCTTCCTTCCTGCTGAACTGTTTTAGAATTTAAAAAATATAAGAATGTAACTTATGATTACGTATTTTATTTTCCAGAGATCTTTACAATTAGTTAAAAAGTCACTCTCATGACCGTTGATTTTTACAATAACCCGGTGAGGTGTCTGGTGTCAAGTCATGTTTTACAGATGGGAAAGTGAGGCTCAGAAAACTGAAATGTCTATCAAAGGATACACAACTAGTCAAAAGAAAAAAAAGAAAAAGAAAAGAAAGAAAGAAAAACATCTGGGACCAGAATTAAGGTTTTTTGACTCTTTATGGAATACTCACCTTCTACAAATTATGTTATTAGGAACTGTGAAAGGTAAACACCATTTCTCTTGAAGAATTTATGTCCTTCCAAGAAATTCGATATAAGCCTTCCATATTCTTCTACCTTAGCATCCCTCACTCACATTATTGTAACCATTCACTTGATTGCTTCCACCACAAGACTGAATTCTTTAAGGACAAAGACTCTATCTGCTAGTCTTTATACTATTAACATTCAGCATGGTGTGTAACACATAGTAGATGCTCAATAAATATTAAACTGATGAATGACTCGATCAACTAGTGGAATGAATACACTTCCCATACTATTCTCAATATGTTCCATCTCACTATTGTCTGTTTGTGCTTAGGGCATAAGGTTAGCTGTACTATGAATGTGGTGGCAGAAGATGGAGAGGAAGAGAATTTGTAACAGGGGAAATCCAGTGCTCAGAAACTATTATTTCATCCTTAGACCACGCGGGGGGTGATGTTTCTGTTGTTAAAGGGCATCTCCAATGACCAGTTCCAATGGTAACGGGAGCACCTGGCAAAGAGTATATATTCTAAAGTGGTTGTTTAGTTTAAAGCCAAGTTAAGAAAGATGTACGTGGCCAGATAGTCAAAAGAGACTATAGAATTGAGATGCCTTTCATTTGATCTGGCCAATTCCCACTGGCCAGACTGGGATGGGAATATTGATAGTACTGTTTAGAAATACATGATATCAAATGTTTTTTAGACCAAAACACAAAATACTATGTGAACAGTAGCTCTTGCAACGCTGCACTGAAGGCTTTCTGGCTTGATGCCAGGCATCAGTAGTACTAAATATCTGTAAAAAGGAGGAAAAGTCTGCACAGAATTCAAATATGCCCCAAGGCCTTTAGAGTAGCCTGAAGTTTCCCCATACATACCCCACATGATGCTGCTGGTTAGTTGGCTTTATGTGAAGCAGATGCACAAGTGTCTAGGCTTGACCCCACCTGCCAGGACAGGAGTATTATCTCACAGTCACGTGAACCCCTAAGGCCTGATCTATTTAAAATTCCCTGTTCTAGAGGTCTGCAGCTCTGCACCTTGTTTAAAAACCCATTTTCTCACCAAGCAGTTTGGAAGCAGAATGATGAACTCAGGATTCGTATTTTACAATTACTTGTACTCCGACTGTGCTCAGTACTGGGGAAATGACATTGAATAAGACAAACGCAGCCTCTGTCCTCATAAAGTCTATCAAATATACAATTTCAAGATGAAATTATATGTTTGATACAGGCTGTTGTGGGATCACAAAGGAGAAGCACTTATCCCACAATGAACCCTTTTCTCTACCACATTTTTGAGGATGATATTGATCGGTCAAAATTTAAGAGCAATGCTCTAGACTCTGGAGAATACAAAAGAGAAATTCGTCTTCCCTAAATTGGAGAAAGAACCAGTGGAAAAACATGGGAAGGAATAGTGCACTGTCCAGTAATCACAAAAAGCCAGGAATAGTGCCTAATTCCACAGGCCAGACTGGAAAAACCTGATGATTCATGGGGTACTCTGGCTTTAACTCAGAAGGGTTAAAATAGATTAGAATAATTACCTCTAGGTGGAGCACTACTCGGGTACTGCCTAACAAATCTTAAAGATCTGAAAGGATAAAAGTGCAGGTTAACTTAATTGCATCTCTACTTTTTCCTTCTCCCCGCAAAAGCTCAAGAATATTTACAGGAATACAAAAATATCCAGCACCCAACAAAACAAAATTCACAATGTTTGACATCTAGGATACTAGGCAGGCAAAGAAGTAGGAAAATATGACCCTTGATAAGGAAAATAAATAAATCAATTGAAACCGATCTAGTACTGGCACGGATGTTAAAGTCAGCAAACTGAAACAGTTATTATAACTGTATTCTGTGTGTTAAGTAGAGACATGGAAAATGTAAAAAGAATAAAACTGAATTTCTACAGATAAAAGCTACAATGCCTGCAATTAAAAATACACTGGGTTGGCCCTGGCTGGATGTGGATCAGTGGATTGAGTGCCAGCCTTCAAGCAAAAGGGTTGCTGGTTGGATTCCCAGGGCACAAGCTTAGGTTGCAGGCAAGGCCCCCAGTAGGGGGGCGCGCGAGAGGCAACCACACATTCATGTTTCTCTTGGCCTCTTCCTCCTTACCTTCCCCTATCTCTAAAAATAAATAAATAAACTACACTGGGTTGGATTAATGGAAAATTAGACATTGCAGAAGAAAGGATTTGTGAACTTAAACACGTAAAAGAACTATTCAAAATAAAACACAAGGAAAAATTTAAAAATTTAAGAAATAAACAAAACATCAATGAGCTGTACAGCTCCAAGCTTCCAAATATATGTGTAAATGGAGTTCTGAAAAGTGGGGAGTAGGGGTCAGGAAAAACATTTAAAAAAATAATAGTTGAAAAACTGTCCAACTTTGAGGAAAACTATACACTTATATATCTAAGAAACTCAAAGAACCCCAGACAGAAGAAGCATAAAGAAAACAGCACTAAGGACCATTATAATTGCTCAAAAACAACAGTGGTAAGGAGAGAAACTCTTCAAGAATGAAGGCATGTTAACTACATAGGGAAAAGATAAAAATGACTACACAATCGTTGGAAACAACAGAAGCAAGACGTTGTCTATTGTTTAAAGATGCAATCCACATCTTTAAATGACTGAAAGGGAAAACATCAGTCCAATTAGGTAACTGTATATCTAGTAAAAATATCTTTCAAAAGTGAAGGCTAAAGTGTGTCTTTTTAAGATACAAAATCTTAAGGAACTAATCATCAGCTTATTTTTGCTCTAAGAAATATTTAAGGACACCCTTCAAGCACAGGGAAATATCAGATGAGAAGCTGGATCTGCATAAGAAAAGGAAGAGCATGCGGCATGGTTACTGCAATGTAAAGATATGATTTTTTTTCTTAGTGTTTAAATCTCTTTAAATGAGAATTTATTGTTTAAACAAAAATTATAATGTTGCGTGAGCTTTATAACATGTGTATAAGTTAAATGCATGGCAACAATAATGTAAAGTCCAGAAATGGAGAAATGCAAGTATATTATTGCCAGATTATTATACATACATGAAGTAATATTTTAATGTTATCACTGTGATGTATTAAATGTATATAATAGAGAGCCTAAAGTAATCACTAAAACAACAAAACAAAGTCTGAATGTTAACAATGAAAATGTATTCCTATATTATTTGTACTTTGTTTCACAAAAAAAGCAATAAAGGGGAGTTGCTAATTTGTTAAAGGATACAGAACTAGGAATTATTGGAGCAGGAATCCAAACTGAAGCCAGCTTCAAAGCTCATGTTGTTTTCCCCACATCAGACTATACTTCTAGTTTATATATGTATCAAATATGAATATTTTCAATTCTTGGGGCTACAGATAATTGAACCTTAAAGATTGTAAATAAAGAACATCAGACTGTCTTTAGAGTGAAGTGGTAAATTCACCTCATCAGGGCAGAGGTATCCAAGGAAACTAAAAGAAACAGAAGGATATTCAGGCCTGAATGAATTCACACATCTAAATTCGTAGTAGTAAATGCTGTCAGTACCTTTCCAAGCAATGTCCGAGAAAAAGGAAGCTGGAGTATTGCATGTTTCCAGTTTTAGTATGGATAGAGAAAAGAGTCTAATATTTTACATCCATTAGCCAGACCATCCATATGATAAAGTAAGTGCCATGAGAGGAAGGGTTTTGTTTTTATTCCTATGGCCCATAACAGTATTGGCTGCATAGCATACACTCCACAAATATTGTTAAATCAACAGTCACAAAAGGCCATGACTAATACCATGAAGCCATCATATTTGAAACATATTTGACTCTCCTTGTTCTGACTCCGCACTCAGAAAGCATCCTTCCGATTTTGTGAATTATATTCCCACAGAGATAAGAGAATGGACTGATCATACTGGTGTGAGTTCCATAGACACGTGGCAGTCACGATTCTCAACAATTTGACAGATTGGTGCCCACCTCAGTCTCACAAACCTTTCAGGTAGTGTGATTCAACCTCTTGGGGTCTGACCATTCCACATATTGAGAAGGCAAACCAGTTTATAGACATTTAAGTTTGCTCCAGGCAGCCTTCCACCTGTCCCAGGCAGTCTTCCCCCTCACATGACTTTTTGATGATTTTGTACAAAATAACCAAATTGAACTGAGCTATCTCTACAATTTCATTTCAGGTGATTATATCTTTCCCATCAAAATGAAATTTTATATTCATTCCTTGTCCCCCTTATAATTTAATTATATATTTAAAAATACA